CCAGGTGATCAGGTCACTGCCAGGCATAACACACCCACACACAGAACCACAGGAGAAACAAAAAAACAAAGAACACACCCCCAAGTGTCACAGCATCAACTGTGACAGGATTGATATTACAATTCATTGTTCTTTAACTGTCTGGTCAGATATATTTACATTCCTGTTAGAGAATTTGGCTTCTTTTGTTACGGGGTGTTTGCAGGGTCTTAAAAAGTCTCCAATCCAATCATCTTAATTAAAATGTCTTATTTTAAAATGTCTTGTCATATGATGTTGACAGGTCTTAAAAATGAATAGGGTGAATGATGTTGAATTTTTCAGTAGAGCTGCAATGATTAGTCAATCGAAAGAAAATGAGTTTCCAACTATTTTGATAATGAATAATTTTATGAACCTTTTCAATAATTAAAACATTCAAACATTTGTTGTTCCCAACTTCTCCAATGTGAAGATTTGCTGCTTTTCTTTGTTATTTATGACAGGAAATGAAGAGACTTTGGGTTTTGGACTCATGGTTGAACAAAAGAAGCAATCTGAAGACTTCGATGTGGGCTCTGGGAAATAGTGATTGTGTGCATTCATCACAATTGTTTGCCATTTTTACGCAGCAGGGCAAGGCTGTCTAACCTTGCATGTCATACAGGCATGAAGGAAAAACACTGTGCCCAGAGACAGGGCTCACTGTTTTTTACTGTGATCTGCATGCTAATCTAAGTGAACTTTGTGCTACTTGTTAGCCAGCCAGTGCAGCTAACCTGTATCTGCTCCTCTGGGATAATCTGGAGCTGTGGCGGAGAGCGTTTATGACTGCAAACATGGTGAAGAGAGAGAAAGCAACTAGTATTAGTATTGAAGTAGGTTGTCCGTTTGTCCGTATGCCCCATTCTTGTGAATGCATTGTCTTTAAATTTGGCCCAAATGTCCACTTGGACTCAAACATGAACTGATTACAATTTGGTGGTCAAAGCTCAAGGTCACTGTACCCTTACAAAATTCCTTTTTGTCTTAAGAATTAATCATATTTCGCATTTGGTAGGACAGTGAATTAACTTTTGACTCAAAGGTCGAAAGTCACTATGACCTCAAAATGACCTTGATGAACATGTGTTTGGTCATAACTGAAATTTCACATAGATGTTTAATGGGATACAGCAATGAAGTGATGACGTTTGTATCCAAAAGGTCAAAGGTCATCATAATGTCCTGGAATATCACATTTTTGTTCAGTTATTCAACACCATAACTCAGGAACAGAAGATTGTGACTCTATTTCACAGCTGGTCAGACAATGTACTGGTGATACTTTTGACTCAAAGGTCAAAGGTCACTGTGATCTCAAAATAGATTTTTAGACAAATAAAAAAAGAAGGAATTGACTGATTCCAGATTTCACACATGTTGACTGGGATGACAACAAGTAAGTAGCACAGTACAGGCTTTCATCTTTAAATCTCATCCATTCTTACAACGTATTGAAGCGTGCCTAGCTGATGGTGCCAGGAGAAAATTGTCAGTAAAAACAAATATTTTGTGGCCTCTGGCACATGGTCCTGTACTTGTATAGTGCCTTTCTAGGCCGACCATTCAAAGCCCTTTTACACTACACGCCACATTCACAAAGTCCATCAAACGGAAACTAAGTCATTCATTCACATTCACGCACCAATTACACAGCATCAGGAGCGATTTGGGATTCAGTATCTTGGAGGAGGATACTTCGACATGCAGCCGGGGATCAAACCAACAACCTTCCGACTAGTGGAGGACCTGCTCTGCCTCTGAGCCATAGCCGCTCTGATACCACTATTCTATCATATACACTGATCTGAAGTCCAGGTCCAGTGTCCATTTTACAGACACTTAAACTAACTTCCAGGACCTATTTTAAATGTTTGGTAACCATGGTAAATAGGGTTATTACCTGATTTAGCAAAACGCCATTACAGATGAATTACACAAGCATCCTAGCTTCCCAAGATCAGAAATTAACTCTCCTAACTTTAGGATAACCTTTAAGCTGTCCTTACTTTAACTTCCACCAGGTAGTGTTTGTTAACTTTTTTAATACATGTGTTTTCTCTTTTATTACATTTACACAACCAACAGAATGCCAACATGCCAAATTTAGCCCATTCTCTCTCTTAAAACTCTCCGGAGTTAGCTTTGTTGTCAGTTTACCAAAAAGAACAACTTTGGATTTCTCTACAGATGTTACCTCTAACCCATCTGTCTTGAAGTTAAGTGCCCATTATGGTTTTGCTCCACTTTTTTGTATGTTACAATGTATGCTGCAGTATCTTTGAAAGAGAAAAATCAACAGTTCCAAAAAAATGTTTTGCTTGGTGAGATGAGAAAAGTAGGTTCAGTAACAGACAGAAGTTGAAGTGATGTTGGATTTGTGTTTTCCTAACCTGAGAGAAGATATGATGAAGATAAGATAGGATCCCTGAAGATGGTTAGGATTAGTTTGTACCAAATTGGGGACAAACCTATGTTGGACTTTCCCTATATTAAGACTTAAGATAGAAAGTTTCTATAATACCACCACTGATGAAATGAAAATGCATTAATAATTCAAATGTGTAATTCCAGAAACATAATTGCAGAATGCAATCCTGATGGTCAGGAAATATCAATCAACATTTTACTATGCACTTGCACCTTTATCATGCATGTGACACCTGGTTAATATTACAGGTCATAATTCAAAGGTGTTGATGATTCATCCCAAATTCTATCTGCTGCACACTTTTTTAATCAAGGTTATCACTTGTGGAACTTTTATGCTGGTTACAGTGAATCTGTAAATGTTACCATCCCCTGGAAAACAGCGAGAGTAATCTCGATTATCTCAGCTGTATTAAATTACAAGTTGATCCTGTCCCATTCAGAACTGGGAAATATCCTAGGGGGAAACACCACCTGATGTCTGTCCATTATCTTCTTCAGTTTGAGGCAGAATACCGTCGCTTCGCTCTGAAGAGGAATGGCCCAGGTGGCTTTCAGGACTTCTACCGCCTCCTCCAAACCATCCATCGTATCCCCGGTGTCGATGTGCTGCTGGGATACGCCGATGTCCATGGAGACCTCCTTCCAATCAACAATGACGACAACTTCCACAAAGCAGTCTCGTCAGCCAATCCTCTGTTGCGCATTATCATAACCAAGAAAGGTAAGACAAGTAAGTGGATTTCTGAACCCCTGCTTCTCTTAACCCCTCACTGGAACTCAGAACAGCTCGGGATGAAGATAGACTGCTCTACCTGTTGGCTGTCCTTCCTTGTTTTTCAATCGTCTGCTGGTGTGTGTGTGTGTGAGAAACAGGCTATGTACAGCTGCAGGGAATGTGTTTGTTCTCCACATCAAACACGGTTTATTCTTCATACATAACGCCACCTGATAATTCTCTGCCTGCCTTCTGTGTTGTGATTTTTTTTTTCTTCTTGGGTATATCTGCTTAATTAATCACTGCTGTGTAGGAACGCAAGGCGAGATGGAATAGAGACAATGTTAGACATTGCAAACCCACCGCTTCAGAGTTTGCCATATCTAGGGCTGGAGGACACTGTCAGAATTTGAGGAATACATTCTTACTCTTTAAGCTTGGCACATTCATTCTTGACCTTGGACAGCAATTGACAAAACAATTTTAAACTAAAGGTCCAGTCAGTCGCTTTTTCCAAAGTATTTGAATGCATTGCACAATCTCCATCAGCAAATGGAGTTTTTTAAGTTGTCAGAAAACTTTAGATGAATGAGCTTTATGTATTTGAGCCTGTTGCAGATACTTGTCTCTTTCTTACTGTAAAAACACAACTTAAAGGTTCCGTGTGTAACAGTAAGCATCTATTGTCAGAAATTGAATATAATATTTATAGTTATGTGTTCTTTATTGTATAGTCATCTGAAAATAGGAATCGTGTTTTTGTTACCTACGAATGAGATGTCTTTATCTACAGATGCTGCAGGTCGCCTTCCATGGAGTCTGCCAAGTTG